TTATTTTATAAATATTTATAATATTATATTTATTTAATTATTTGATAATATATAAAAATTATATAAACAAGTTTATATAATTATTATTTTTTTATTCCATTTTAATAATCCTAGTTTTAAGTAAAATAAAGTAAAATAATTAATTAATAAAATTTTATATTTATTTTAATTAATTATTATTTAAATAAATAATTTTATTTAATATGTTAAAATTATTTTATAAAAATATAAATAAATAAATTAAATAATATTATAAAAAATAAATAATTAAATTGAAATATTTTAAATTAAAAATCCAGTAAAAAGCAAATATTAAATTTTCTTTCAACATAAAAGATGAAGTATCTTTGTATATAAAAAAATTATTAATACATTTACAATTTACCACCTCTTATAATATTTATCAATTGATTATGAAAATTTATAATTTATAATTTAAGTTTAAAAATAATAAATTTTTAATAAATATAAATAAATCATAATTATTAAAAATAAAAATATGAATAATTAAAATTTTATATAAACATAATACATAAAATTTATATGTAAATAAATTTTTACTATATATATAATTAAAATGTCTCTAATTTTTTTTTATAAGGATAATAGTTAAAGGTTAATATGTTAGAACTTAGAAGTATTAGTGAGAGTATTAAACCCAAAACTTAAAAATGCAAACCATGAGTTACCCTTCGAGACAGCAAGTGTCCATTTGCCATGTCATGTAGAATGCAAAATGTCTCTAAATTAATTTTTAAGTATCTTGAGACAAACCATACCTAAGCGATCTTCGAGGTCTAATCAAATGTTATTATTTTTAGTAGTTGAAAAGTTTATAATTTTTAAATGGGATTTTCAACCTCATTAATTATGATATATCTAATTAGTTTTATATAAATTTTAAATAAAGTCTAATATAAAATGTAAAAATATAATATAATATTTATATTTAAAATTTATAAAAAAAATTATGAATTTAATATAAAAATTAATATAAAATTAATTTAAAGTACTTTAATTAATAAATTTTAATCTATATACACCAAGGTTAAACATAGCTTTTCTAAATTTATTGATAAAAAAATTTCAGTAATTTATTGATTGTAAATAAAAAATTTGACTAAAGAGATAAAAGCAGTACACTTAGGAAGACTCCCCAAAACTCAGCAAGGCTTCTTGCCACAGTTGCCTATAATCTGAAGCTGCAAGTTGAAGTTGAAATCTTCGTCTCGCTCTTGCTGAAATGGTTGGTTCTCAAATCTCAATAGTTACCCGTCAAAGGGATAGGAAATTGCTTGTAACAGCAAAGTGGAAAAGCCAAAAAACTGAAGGGTAATGGATCACAGAAGATTGCACTGTCAATGGCGAAAATGGAGAACAGCCGAAAAACTGTCTTCCAAATCCGGGAGCAAGAAATTCGCAAAGATGGATATGCAGAAGAAGAAAGAATATGCGTGGAGCTTTC